AGCTCTAGTTGCTCCAGTGCCAATAACATTGGGTCGCAATGGGACCGCTGCCTCAAATGCGCCCGCGCTTTTCAAGCAGCGCCACGTGGCAACCGACAGCGGAGGGTGGGGCTTGCGGACGAAGGTGTGAGTTGCGGGTCGGACGAGCTCCTTGCGCCTTTGTCGCGCACTTTCAAGCGGCAAAAGGGGCGCGACATCAACGCTTGTCCGCCTGTCCTACTACCCCCGGATGGAACAGGCGAGCGCGCCTAATCCGCGGAGCGTGCCTTTAAAATGCAAGGGTTTGAGTATCCATAAGGTGAAATGATAGAATCTATCGGATAATCGCTATACAAAATAGGTTGATCTTTCGAGAGTCGTAACCAAAACGTAACAATAAGAAAGAGCCAAACCAGAAGGCATAAGCATCCTCCATTTACTCACCCTATCTAACGTATTGCGCATAATTTCTTCTTTATTCAACTGTACAGTGCTGTCATCATCATTGGAGGTAGATGAATTTATTGATAACGCGTCCATACCACAAGTGATACCATTCACGTCACCGAATACAGCTTTAACCTCGCAGTACTGTAATCAAAATTTTTATTCATCAAAATCACTTCCATGCCTGTTGTCTACAATCACTGTTCTGTTCACTCTACACCAAATCATTCACTTTTACCGACAAATTTTCAGCAAAAGTTTTCCTGTACGATAATACTACTCACCTTTGGATTTTTCCGCGCGCACTGCTCGATTATCTCCCATTTTCGCTCTTTCTCTTCCTGTCGAATCTTCTCCAGTGATCTTTCCTGTAAGAAAAACACATTTATACTCGACTAACGCCATTGCCAACATTTAGGTATAAGTGGAGATCAAATATAATGCGGATGGTAAATGACTCGACTGTGAAAAAAGGAATACAAATCGTTGAAAACACTGTAAATAAGTTTCACAAGCTTCATACTGACATGAGCTATGAATAAAAGCTGGTCCCACGCAGGACAAACTCCGCACCTCTTGCTTCCTGGGCAATTGTGCTACCAATTACATTAACGAGACGCCATTTCGCCCAAGCTCAGTTTTCGATAGCATATAAGCCATCTTTCTTGTGGCACTTTCGCATCGCGAACTACAGCGTTATATAGTTCTTGGGGAAAAACTGCCCCTACATGTGTTCCAAATCAGTGCCAAAATTTACAGATCTATGATTCCAAGAAGAAGGGTTGCGGAAATTGGATTGTGACGCAGGACATGATAGAGTGATCAAGACGTTGTGCGTCTCATCTTCAAAGGAGAGCATAGCCGAAGAGTTGAACCACGATAAACAGCGCATTATATGCAGGACGATCTTAACTTGTCATAGAGGAGGCCGCCTCATGCTTACTACTTGACGCCTAGCAATAAAGCGAACTCGAATCGGATGACATAATTACCCCGATGCAAACAAATAAAGAGCAACACCATTCCACGCCCAATATTGTGAGGGACTTATTAACTCTCACAAATGCACCAGATAAAAAAAATCCATAAGAAACTGATGTTCAAAAATGTTCCAATCCTACGAAAATAATGGCGAGAATACTCATTAATCCAAAACAGAATGCAAACAAAACAAAAACGACACAAGTAAAATGTCAGACCTTCGCGTAATTCTGCGAGCACTCATCGAACAACTTTTGATTAATCTCCATCAACAGTTTCAGCGCGTTATAAATTAATCCGTGGATAGTTCTAAAACGAAATGCATTGGAACATACAGAAAGAAAAACATGAGCTTCTTAAATAGGGGCTACTTATTCCAATGAGACTTGCTGTTTTTATACAAGGCTGGAAACATTATTGGCAATATAACAGCAGCATTTTCCCCTATTAACGACATCACATATTCGTTGTTCCAGTAGTAAAGCGCTCGCTCAGCTACCTGAACAGTATTCGATTGGAAAACGATAAAGCGAAATCATTATGTTTTGAAAAAATACAACTGGACTGAAAAATAGGTGAAGAAGTAGAATGTATAAATTTAAAAGCTTGCTCTAAACGCACATTTCAAGCAAATGATAAAGTAACTCAAGACAAAGTTTTGACTTGTTTTTGATTGTTAACTGCCTGTGTAGCGCGAAGTCGCCTTGTACGCGAAATCAAAACAACAAAAAACAATCAAATCAAAATCAGGACAAAGCCTTAGAAATTGTTAATTGTTCGACACTGAATAATAAGGAAAAATCACCTGAAGTGTGGACTGCTAACACAACGGGCTAATTGCGTGAAAAGTGGAACCATGACTTTCTGGAACTCCACCGGCTCAATCACATCCAAAACTTCCTCGAGTTCGTTCAGGAACATCACCTACAGACTTTATGTATTAACAGGGAACGCACAACAGCGAAAACGATGTGATGATGCACAAGGTTGCAGCATTCAACCTTGGCGTATGAATAACTTCAGCAGTTAGTAACAAATACCTCTTTCGGACTATGAATTTTCGGCCAGAATTTCAACAAACCCATGATAACGGGTTCGGTCAGTGATGGATCCTTTTCGAGAAACTGTACAACACAGTAGGCCAACTGTGGATGATATGTCGACAGCGACTTCACCTGGAAAGAGCTACGAATCGATTAGCGAAAAAAGACTCCGTTAACACGCTAGCAACTGCATACTTGCGCTTTTGCAAGACAAGGCTCAGGTAAGAAAAAGACAACAGTTCCGTTCTGAAAGATGTGCATATCGCACCAAACATAGTAGGCTAGAATGACGGTTTGAAGCACTTGAAGCCAAGGAACGTTCGAACAAATGAGGAATAAGACTCAAAACGATTGAACAAGAAACCTCACACAATTGGAAAAGAACAAACTTGCAGATGCGCAATACACGGAGCTAAGAATGTCCATGCTCTCCTTGCAGCGGAAGTGCGAAAACTCGGTTGATAAATGCTTCCACAAAAAAATGAAAAAATTGAACTAGCAAATGAATAAGGAAACAAATGAGCAAACAGATCTGCTTATGACAGCATAAAAGTGAAACCCTACCAAGTATTTCTAGCAATTCAGCGATCCCATTGTGTCGCTCAGTTTCGTAAATAAAGCAATAAAATATGTTGTTCATTTGTTTTCTGCAAAATGGTAGCCATTAGTCATACGATGAGCGCATGTCAACAATATTGATATAAGAAACTGCTCAAAGAAATGGCAAAATCAAAGCATGGAAACTGAACGCTAGAAAACCTACCGAATATACGCCCTCATACCTAGGAATTTACCATATATCCGATGTAAGGTTGTTTTGAGGAAATCTCTCTCGCGAGGATCTTCAGAGTCCATGATCATCAGTAACTAAAATAAAAGGAAAAATAGGAAAAATTTGGATACTCAAAAAGAATTTCGCCATGAAAATGTCACAGTAAATTTCTGCAGGCTTACACAAATTTGACAAAAGCAAACAAAAGTGCAAAGAACATTTCAAAGAGCCAATGTGCCGCTCACAAAAAGTACCTTGCCATCAAACTGTCATCTATCAAACATTAATAACCATATGATCAGTAGTAAGGCTACAACGGCAGTTGCAAAACTATATTTAAAAAATATTAGGTTTAAAAAAATGTGTAACCTTACCCGTAGCATAAATTTGTGGTCGATGTACTTCTTCGCCACACTTGATTGGAAATCGGGAGATTCAAGAAAACGTAAGAAAAACTCATACACAAGCTGAAATACGTTAAAATATTTCAGTGCTCACTGCCACTATATGGAAATGATATGAGGACAACAACCCGAAACCCAAACGACGGAAATGATCACCTGCAAATGTGGCCATGCAGCTTCAAGCGTCGGTTCGTCTTCATCAGGGTCAAATTCGGCACCTACGGGGTTCGTTGGAGGTGAAAGCGGTCGGAATAAGTTGAGAGCAAACTGAACAAACGCTGTTACGAACAGGATCCCTCTCATCTTTGAGAAAATAACAATGCACACTGTTCACTTGCACGAAACGTTCCATTCTCAAAACACTCTTGGTTTCAACTTACCATATTAATTGCTTCAGGATAAACATTTTCAGTGATGGCATCGCGGCACGTAGACACGTAGTCAATGAAGCTCGTTCAATGCTGCTCGTTTCACCTAGCAAATCAAAGACATGAGAAGCGATCCTTCACCAACTAAACAACCACTCGTGAGCTTTACTTCTTCAGGCCGCAGTTATACTTAGCAACCATCCGATCGGACCGATCACACAACCAAACGCGGGTTAGACATTTTGACCCAGCGATCGCACCAACTCACCATCCGATGAATAAGACGATCGGACGATAAATATGTATCTACCCCACACTCGATTGTGTGGTAAGACCGTATGAATGCGAACTACAAGTGGCCTCAGGACGCGGAAAAAACAGGCAATTTGTACTCCTTATGTAGGATTTGCTCGCTCACTGATATTGAATCACTGATAAAGCAAAATGCGACATGGTAAAGGAGGGAAAGAAAATCGTCTGAAAGGAACCTCTTTGTATTTCATATCGCTTAACGGATCCTGTGCAAACTCGAACACCACGCAGCATTGTCGTAACTTTTGAATAAACAAATCTTCGCGTTCCGATGGATCGGCATCTATAAAAAAGCCTGCTTTCTAGCTTGCACAAAAAAAAAGGAAAACAAAACAGAAATAATGAAACAGTGACAGCAGCTCGCAAAAACTAGCCAGTCCTAATCAGAAAAAACCGCCTCTTAAATGTCTGAAGTGCCTTCACTTTACGACTCCCAGAATGTATATCGACATCCGGAATCAATTCTTCTCTCTAAGCGAGATGTTTGCTCACCTACAACATGCAATCCAATATCAATCCACTACACCGCACATCAGCCCAAGCTCTCCTCAAGTGCACCGCAAACGTGGCAAAGCAACCAACGAAAGAGGCCCTCGCTCTTTCTCTCCATATTTAGCCCTGCACAACTTAGGTACAAGCTGTATACATGCTATATGGACCCTAAGAGCGCTCAAATGTTCCGACAGCTTAGGCACCTATCCGAAAACGCTTGACAAGAAAAAACATGGTTTCTAAAATAACCGCTCCAACAGGTCTAGCTCATTTCCTTGCTCCTTCTTTGTTTATCCTGATCTCACCGTTATAAAGTATTTAGAACAAACAAAGTATTAGGTACAACATGAAGCCACCCTTAGCAATAATTTACAATTCTGAGAACTTCTCCAATTTTCGGTTATATTTCGGGAGAATACCATGTTTTGTTTTCCGCAGACA